ATGCTGGCGAAACGTCTGAGAATGTACGACATCCACGTTCCGATAGTCGCCGTTTCTCAAGCCTTTAATAACACACACAAAGTCGCCTCACCTACCAAGCATATAGGCTCTGATTCCCATGCTTACTCATATTGGACATTGCCTAAACACATCAACTTATTGATTAAACCCGCTTACACAGAGCAAATTATGCACTTCAATCGGCGAAGCGTCTGGGAATGTACCACACAGTCCGACACTGGGAATTATTATAGCTACAGTGGCAGACTCCGGACAAGTTGCGACCACTTAATTCACCCTGACAACATGACCAAGTTGCAAAAACGAGGTCAAATGACTTCAATAACCCCCTCTAAGTAGAACTCTACTCCGAGTAAAACATAATTGTACTATATGATGTGTATTCAGCATCCTTCGTTTAAGGTGAGGGGACTGGTAGTTGAATTTTCCCACAATCATATGAATATGCCCTAGGTGTCCATTGAGTGTCATATAGCCCTGCTTTATACCAAAGGTATTCTCATCTAGGATGGACTGCAGTTCCAACCTCGCCTAGATCTTATCCGCATTCCTAGAGGGACTCGAACAATGATAGCGCTGATGAGACCTAGGCGAGGTTGGAACTTTAGTCCATCCTGGATAAGAATACCTTTGGGATAAAACAAGGCCGTGACATTTAATGGAACGTAAGGTCTATTCATGGCATTATGGGAAAATTCAACCACCTTATCACCTTACACGAAATAGGGCGAATACACCTCATATAATTGATCTACTGATAGTCTCGAAAACGTACTCATAAATAAAATATAACTTCACCATTTTTCAGCGGAAAATTTTGAAGAGAAAGACATTTTCAAGTTTCGTCGGCTGGTCAATTAAAAATCGATAGTGGCGCTTTTAGCCGTTTCACAGGCGCAATGAAGAATGTTTCACAAATTAAATCCTTACGCTCTTCTTCGCTTACTCCAACTGGTAACTGTTGGAATTATGAGGATGCAGGGTACCATAGTTACCTTCAAAAAAGTAGCAAAGACGAAGTGCTGAAGAGTTCTGCCTTGAATACTGCCCTGAATGGTGTGTGCGGCCGATACGGGCTGATAATATCAGGACAAATAAATAATGCAGCCTCGATAAGAATCATGGACGATAGTGGAATATTTAATCTGCTTCAGGGGTTTGGTCTTCCTCGCCTTGATTGGATTGGTATCCACTCGTTCACATTCATAGACACTGCGCTAGGTCGCCGGAGTATGACGCTTGACCTGTATCTCAATTATTTTGTGCCGTCTCTGTGCACACGACTTCGAGTTCGTCTCAAGTGCCCTTACAACCTGTTGACTGTGATGCACTCGGCACTGGCAAAGCTTATGTTCGTAAAAGGTGCTTGCACTGTGCGTGACAGAATTCTAACGACGTATACTTTATGGAACAGAGAATTCTACACTAAACATTCAACGACAGCTTAAATAGGTGATAAAAATAGAGAGATAAGAAGATAATATCTCTTTAAGGCAGATAAATATGTCATATTGCGATAATGACATCACAATACATTTATTCTCAAGTGAAACCAATTTATCAAATAAATGGCTTGCGTCCAGGTAACGAGCAATTTCACGAGAAAAGGAAATTTTTTGTTTTAGAGTTAATGAAACTCACACTCGTATAAGTGGTACATCGATAAGAAGAAACTATTATAAATACATAAAAGGACCAATCAAGGGCTCGAACTGACACAGTTGTGACCAAGCAATGATACAGATGAGAAAAGTCAATTATTTCATTCAAATGCCCAATTTGAGCCTTACAACATAGGATTAATTGAAAAAATCATGACGGTATCCATTTATGGTTTTATTAAAATAAAGCGCGCTAATGTAATTAGTAAGAAGCTAACCGCTTTTTTTGGAATTAAACAAATATTTTTCATTTGCAAACTCAGTGTATTTATGTTCCTGACATAGGATAGAGCTAGTCTATAAGGCCGACAAACACGTAAATTTTTTATAGTGAGTCAAGAAAAAATATACGCAAATCCTAGACGAGCAGAATTTTGTTTATACTCTGGGCCTCTAAGATTATTCAATTATTTCTATAAACGAAAAGCCTTGGCCTGAATGAGTGTTGGAAACTCGGCAACCGCTATTTACCATCTTTGCATAGGTCATTTGAACCATGAGTTGGAGGAATAGCAGCATGCTTTGATGATTAGACCAAA